TGAATAACAAACATTGATCTACATTCAGTTTGAATAACAAACATTGATCTACATTCAGTTTGAATAACAAACATTGATCTACATTCAGTTTGAATAACAAACATTGATCTACATTCAGTTTAAATAACAAACATTGATCTACATTCAGTTTGAATAACAAACATTGATCTACATTCAGTTTAAATAACAAACATTGATCTACATTCAGTTTGAATAACAAACATTGATCTACATTCAGTTTGAATAACAAACATTGATCTGCATTCAGTTTGAATAACAAACATTGATCTACCATCAGTTTAAATAACAAACATTGATCTACATTCAGTTTGAATAACAAACATTGATCAACATTCAGTTTAAATAACAAACATTGATCTACATTCAGTTTGAATAACAAACATTGATCTACATTCAGTTTAAATAACAAACATTGATCTACATTCAGTTTGAATAACAAACATTGATCTACATTCAGTTTGAATAACAAACATTGATCTACATTCAGTTTGAATAACAAACATTGATCTACATTCAGTTTAAATAACAAACATTGATCTACATTCAGTTTGAATAACAAACATTGATCTACATTCAGTTTGAATAACAAACACTGATCTACATTCAGTTTAAATAACAAACATTGATCTACATTCAGTTTGTATAACAAACATTGATCTACATTCAGTTTAAATAACATACCACGATCTACATTCGGTTTTACTAACAAACCACGATCTACGATCTACATTCGGATTGTTTAACAAACAAAAATATACATTCAGTTTTAATAATAAACCACAATCTACATTCAGTTTGAATAACAAACCACGATCTACATTTAGTTTGAATAACAAACCATTGATTTACATTCAGTTTAAATAACAAACATTGATCTACATTCAGTTTGAATAACAAACTTTGATCTACATTCAGTTTGAATAACAAACCACGATCTACATTAAGTTTTTATAACAAACCACGATCTACATTCAGTTTGAATAACAAACCACGATCTACATTTAGTTTTAATAACAAACCATGATCTACATACATTTTCACTAAAAGTCATCAAAATCGAACGTGAAACTTAGTTTGGGAGAAGATTGAGATATTTTTGGAAGTAGAAGGGCAAAAGAAATCATTTTACAATTCTTTTACAATAGCCTCAATAGATTTATTTATTTATTTATTTATTTATTATTTTTTTGGCAAGCTTAGACAGTTTTCGTACAGCTCGAAATGTGATTATATGAAAGAAAGATTTCGTGCGAGCTTCCTTTCTTCTGGAATTATACAATAACTTTTGTCATTTGAATACATATATTTCGAAAAAATAAAATGTTAAAAATATAGATCTATTGACCATACCAGTGACACGCCACAAGAATAAATAATGAGAAAAATTGTTTTGATATTGGCGTTAATTATTAGTCAGTAATAAAAGGAGAGCGGTATACGGCGAAAGTTCCACGGGCGCTCTGCAACATATTCAGCTTAACGGAAACTGATAGGATTAGCCGAATGTAAGGAAGGTGCCATTATATTAATTGTCAAGGCGGAACTAATTCTGTTAATGGCTTAATAAAAGGTATGAAGTTATAACTTAAGACATTCTCAAGAAAGACACTCCAACATGTAAATTGGCTTCTATCACCTCTTTGTAATGGTGCAAAGAGCTGTGTTAAGTTTTAATGCGCTGCGTTGAAGTGGGATTTGAGATTGGAGCTGGATGGGTTGAGTTGATAATAAAATGATTAATATAGACCTCAGTGAAAGGATGACAGAAATATAATATAATCAAATTTCCTATCGTAATCAACTCTGTGGCGAATGAACTAGTGAACTTCAAAGTGACTTTATCATAATCATACAGCGGTAATCGTGAACAAACTATTACTAATATGATAGTGATGTTATCAAAAGTTTACTAACGCTGTAATGGCAAATGAATTTTTTTTTTTTTTTTTGACAGTGACGGTATTATAATTTAAGGAAATTGTGATAGCGAATGAATTATTTTTTTAATAGTGACTTTATTATGCCATTCATACAATGCCAGTGTGAACAAACTACGTTAACATAATTTTAGAGCACTGTCATGCCAATTGAATTATATTTTTAATAATGATCTATTATTATTATCTTACTGCGAGTGAACAAACTATTTTTGATTTGTGACGTTATCATAATTCGTTGACAGTTATATTGAAACGATTACTTTTGATAGTGACGTTATCATAATTTTATTGAAAGTTATATTGAAACGATTACTTTTGATAGTGACGTTATCATAATTTTATTGAAAGTAATATTGAAACGACGGTTTTTGTTAGTGGCATCGAAGTTGAAATCAAAATGGAACGTGCATTAGGCGATATATATACTGTCGGAGCTTTACTGCACTATGTCATTGAAAATGGACCATTACCTACAAATGAACGCATCATCGTTGATGAAGATATTGCTTACGTTTCTTGTTTATGTATCCTAGCCTTTCTTGGAACCTTAGGTAACATTTTGATTTTGATAATGTTCTCGAAGAAAGAATTCTTCAAAACGTCATATTCCATCTATATCAGAGCCGCCGCCATTTCGGATACCATTTTTATGTTGATGAACATTTCTGAGGATGTAATGGACCACGTGACATCATACCCATTAGTAAAGTTTATTGGTACGTCGTATAATTTCTGTAATTTTTGGTTCGTAACAATTGGGACGTTTCGCAATGCGTCTCCTTGGATTGTCGTGGCTTTAGCCCTAGATCGATGTGTTGCTATATGGAAACCCCTACACAGGACGCGATATTGTACCAAAAAGACAGCAGCAATCATTACGGCTGTTATCGTTTTAACCTCTCTCGGTGTGGAATTAGGTATGACTCTACCATTTACTACAATGTCAATAGGAGAACAATTGTATATGACTTGTGATGTTTACGGGATAAGTGATGATTTGTCTATAATCAAACGATTGGTTACAGAAACTGGTTTACCGTGTATAACCATATTGATTCCTAATCTACTCGTCATTTTCAAAATTCAACAAAGTCTCAAATTCAGACGGTCATTCTCAACGGCCAATGATCAAAGGGGAAAAGTGGCCAAATCAGCTCGGCCATTGTTAGTATTGTCCTGTCTGGCCTTCATTACTCTACTTCCTATCTCCATCACGGAGGTGGTCGAACTCTACAAAATGAATAACGCTGCCGTGAACACCAACGATTATGAAGGTTATCCAAATAATAGAAACGATTATGATAATCATACAATTTTTGCAAATAGAAACAGTAGTTTTAACAGAATGTTCGACGACCAAAAGTTCAACTTTTCAAACGATACATTTGAAAACATTACAACAAGTAGATCTTTTGATGGAACAGACGAAGCCGTGAGCACCAACTTGATTGAAAGCACTACTTTTGGAACAGGCGATGATAGAAGGACTAACACGGACCTGATTGAAAGCACTGATTTGAAAAGAGATCATGAGAGAAATGTCAACTCGGACCTGACTGAAAACAACGGAAATGGAGATGATGACGGTCAACATGACGAAATGAATTCAAATGATCTTGAAAACGGAGAAAACCAAAAATCAGAAATAGAGTATCAGGGAAACGAACCTGGCGAAGAAGGACACGAAGAGCTAAAGCTGATGGATTCAATCTGGAGGACCTGTAATTTTATTTATATGTGTAACTTTGCTCAGAATTTCTATCTTCTTATATTAAGCTCTTCAACATACCGAAATGCAATAATTAAGATGTTCGGCTGTAAATGCAGCAAGAAAAAGAGGGATTCCCCCCGCGTTGTAAATGACCAAGTGGTACAGCAATCGGTTGTCCAAACAATAAGCCATTCGTCGAATGCTTGCACCGCATCAACGTCCTTGGAAGCCGTTCATTTCAACTTGCAGTAGATAAATTTAAAGTGATCATAGTTTTAGAATGAACATAAAATTTAAGTTCTCGAAAAGGTCAATATTAGTCTATATTCATCAGTTAGCTTACCTGGTGTCATAAAGTTACAACAGAATCCCTGTAAAATCAGGAAAATTTGAAAATTCATAAAAATAAGTAATTATTAAAAAAACGCTTAATCTTAATATTAAGCGTTTTTCAATAGTTAATTGCATATTTATGGATACTTACTAAGTTTTTTTTGGGTTTATCGGATTATATAAGGATCCTGTCATGTTATTTATGACACCAGGTATATCTACTGGCTCTTATTCGCCAAGTTTAAAATTCTTTAATTTTATGTTAATTCTAAGACGAAGTATCTCTTAAAGAAACTAACGTCAGGGGAATAATCGGTCTGTCAACATTTACAGAAACATTTTGAATTGCTTCTTATCTTTTATGAAACACTCTTTTGCCCTTATGGCTCCCAGATCTTCACATTAAAATATACATGTATTAAATTGCTTGTTGTTGTTAGTCATTTTACTGGATAACGTGACGTGTGTGTGTTTTGAAATGTATTATGTAATACAGTCAAAAGTAGTATATTATTATACATAATTATTTAGAAAATTTATTGTAAAAAGGTTCCTGCAATTCTTTAAAACTCAAGACCGTATGCAGCGATTTTATTTAAGTTGATAGTTGATATAAAAAGTAATGATATGGTAAGAGTTGATATAAAAAGTAATAATATGGTTACGTTTGATATAAAAAGTAATAATATGGTAAGAGTTGATATAAAAAGTAATAATATGGTAACATTTGATATAAAAAGTAATAATATGGTTACGTTTGATATAAAAAGTAATAATATGGTTACGTTTGATATAAAAAGTAATAATATGGTAACATTTGATATAAAAAGTAATAATATTGTAAGAGTTGATATAAAAAGTAATAATATGGTAAGAGTTGATATAAAAAGTAATAATATGGTTACGTTTGATATAAAAAGTAATAATATGGTTACGTTTGATATAAAAAGTAATAATATGGTAAGAGTTGATATAAAAAGTAATAATATGGTAACATTTGATATAAAAAGTAATAATATGGTAACATTTGATATAAAAAGTAATAATATGGTAAGAGTTGATATAAAAAGTAATAATATGGTTACATTTGATATAAAAAGTAATAATATGGTAAGAGTTGATATAAAAAGTAATAATATGGTAACATTTGATATAAAAAGTAATAATATGGTAACAGTTGATCC